AACCAAAAGAAGATCACAACTTCGTAAAGGGAGACGTGTAATCTTTAACAATAGACAGGTGTCCTAACATTATGTCACATAAGTGCTATCAGATTCATATTTTTTCAGCCAACAGTATACACGTAATATTAAGTGTGAAATAGAAGGAGAATCAGACGTGGTTTATACGTCAATTGAGCAGCAGCCCAACGACAGAAATAAAAAAAATCTTGATGCAGACATTAAGTCTACGACAAATAGACAGGTGATTACACATTGTCGATATGTCTCGCTCTGAACTATCTCGATTCCATAAAAGATATACATAAATTCAACAGAAACTATTCACACTCAATTCTCTAAATAAAGGGGGAGGGGGATTAACATTACGATATGATATACGAGCGTTAACGACAACGTACCTGACGTGGGACACACACACATTTAAGAAAATGTAAATGGGCTATTATACTTAAGATTCATTTTATATATCTAACACCCCCCTTTTATCGTACAACATTCCTAGGAAAGAATAGAGGACAAGTTACAGCTAAGATTTAAATCTGTCGCCTCCACGTACGTACGAGTTTCACTCCGTCCCGTCGAGGGCTATGTTCCCAACAGACCTAGCCAGTAGTTACTAGACTGCGGGTTGACAACAAAACATGCAGTGCAAAGTTATATGTACAAATTATTCAATGAAAAAGGTGCAATATATCAAAGTTTTGCAAAATTTGTGTTTGTTATCACGAAAAAGCCATGATAAAGACTCATTTTATGATTGAGTCGTTGTTTAAAATTTTTTGGGACTATTAAATTTTAACCTGTGCAGATCACAACTTCGAAATAGACGAAAAATGGCAAAAACCTACAAACGTATATAATACGTATATAACTATCCAGATTTTTGCCAATACCTTCTCTGAGGAAATTTTGCAAATTGTGTACTATATAAGGATTTCAAACCCTATACATCGTATGCTTACCTCTGAAAGACGAAGCTTGTTTTGTTACGTATTATGTCTGGAAAACGATTTTTTTTTGTGTGTTTTTTTTTGTTTTACTTTTGCTTTTTGCATTGTTTTGGTATTATTTTTTTTAAGAAAAGGGGGATGCCTTGAAAAAGATTTTTCAAATGATAAACATCAGCTATAAAATGCGAAATACTTTCAATGTTTAGTAAATAGGCAACAACTTTTTGACACATGAAACATTCATAAGAGTAAAAGAAGATGCAAGGCATACATCAATAAAACAGCTAGCCAACAACACAAAACTGAACGGTATGAAATTCGCTGTTTTTTTTTTATTTTATAAGATTCTCAGTTAAAATGTACACCACTCTTCACGTGCAAGGGATGGAGTTTAAAAAAGAGTCTGACTATTGTTGATATGAAAAAAACAATAATCAAGAAAGAAGGAGATCTTTTTTCTGTTTATCCATTTTCCTCATCGTTTAGTTTTTGCTTATTTGTATTTGTCTCCAGAAAATGAGTAAGACTTACGTAGAGCTGCGCTAATTTCCCAAAATTGTGTGTGCGTTAATTCCTTTTTTTTTCGCTTGACACCAAAAAGGTATATAATTCGGACCAGGTCAAATAGAACATACAAGAAAGCAGTACATATGTTAAACAAAATAGTTCCTACTCGTAGCTGTAGTTTTGTCCAGAAGTAAAAGAAAATTGGTAATTAATTGATATCAAATGAAAGGCTCATCGTCTTGGGATCACTGTAGAATCCTTGATGGAGGTTTCTTGTGAATAATAAAATAAATATATGAAATTATGATGGGGGACATGTTTGCCCTGTTGCTCAGATCGGAAGTACCTGTTTTCATACTATCCAACTTTCGGAAACCAGTGCGCTCTATTATGCAATATGTTGAGTTTTTCAGCACAGTCAAGTCGGGATAAGATGAATTTGCTATGAAATACCTGCCGCTTTATTCCAACTTAAGACGAAATAGCTATAAATGCTTAAAATTGCATAGTGGTTTTATTCCAGAAAACAATTTTTGAAGCAAGTGCGTGTCTGCGTTTAAGTTTTAAGTAGACTAGACTTGAATTTCTGACACAATGGCTTTAATATGCACGGAATATTTGCCACTGGACGCTAAGAAAATAATCAGATCAATCCATTATACTTGATACAAAGAAAAACGGGCAGTGCTTAGCCTATCAGATTTATATGATAATTTTTGTAAGCCATCAGTGCACACGGAAAATTAGGTTCTGCATGAATAAAAGGAGATGTGAGGTAAACGTCAATGAGACAGCAAACCAACTACAGAAATAACCAAAAAGGCATCTTGAGGGAGACGTGTAATCTTCAACAATAGACAGGTGTCCTAACAAGTGCTATCAGTTTTTATTTTTTTCAGCCATCAGTATACACGTAAAATCAAGTGTGAAATAGAAGGAGAATCAGATATGTGTTATACGTCAATGGAACAGCAGCCCAACGACAGAAATAAAAAAAACCCATCTTGATGCAGACATTAAGTCTACGATAAATAGACAGGTGATTACACATTGTCAATATGTCTCGCTCTTAAATATCTCGATTCCATGAAAGATATATATATAAATCAACAGAAACAATGTTTGATCTGCTATTAACACTCAATTCTCTAAATAAAGGGGGTAGGGGGGGGGGGGGGGGGTGGGGTTATCATTACGATATGATATACGACCGTTAACGACAACGTTCCTGATGTGGGACACACACACGTTTAAGAAATTGCGAATATACTAAAAACCTAAAGATTCTTTTTACATATCTAACATCCCCCTTTTATCGTACAATATTACTAGGAAAGAAACAGGAGTAGTTGCACTAAGATTTAAATCTGTCGCCTCAACGTACGTACAGTTTTCACTCCGTTCCGTTGAGGGCTAAGTTCCAAACAGGCCTAGAAGTAGTTACTAGACTGCGGTTAGATAACAAATCATGCAGAGAATACACATACTAGTTTACCTATTTGTATAACATCAGAATATACATGTAGATGAGAAAATTAGTACTCTCAGAACATCTCGCAATTTCAAAATGTTTTCTAATCAATACGTAGAAGTTATATTATATAAGACTGTTAAATAATTTTAAAAGTTAAAAAATGAATTAAAGGGGGGCGAAAGATACCAGAGTGACATTCAAACTCATAAGTCGAAAATAAACTGATAACGCCATGGCTAAAAATGAAAAGACCAACAGACAAACAATAGAACACAAAACTCAACATAGTAAACTAAAGACTTAGCAACACAAACCCCACCAAAAACTGGGGATGATCTCAGGTGCTCTGGAAGGGTAAGTAGATCCTGCGCTGTGATAAAGGCTGAATGGATATCAAACGGTTCAGAATTAACACACGTTGAGAGCACATTAAACGATAAAGGATGAACACACAATGAGCGCACTTTACACGATTAAGAATGAATGAACGTTGAGCGCACTTTACACGATTAAGAATGCATGAAAGCTGAGCGCACATTACACGATTAAGAATGAATGAACGTTGAGCGCACGTTGAATGGAAATACACGGAATGATAAATGATGAGCGCACGCACTATGAATGGATGATGAATGAATAAAACACACACGCAGAATGGACGATGAATGATGAATGCACGAAAATTGGTCAGTTTAAATTTTAGATGGTCTGTATCTAATGTTTATATCTCAATTTTCCTGAACCCCTGGATCCCGTGCATGTTTATCGCCCCTGAATATAATTATAACAGTGAAGGTTACGATAGTAGTTTCGACAACATGGTCTATCGAAGTGTCAACCAAAGGAAAAGATTCTAACGGACCAATGCGATTCAAATATTTGTACATATGTAAATCATATAAAAGTTATTGCATATTATTAATGAATAATGTTCGGATATTGTTGTCGTTCTGTCGACATTTTAATGTGTATATTGCATTATAATAAATTCCTTAATAAAGAAAAACATGTCTGTAGAAGTCTTACCGTTTATCTTTTGAACCATGCAAATTATGTGTCATTTTGACGGGGTGAATTTTGTTTGTACTTTCGGAAGGTTTATTCCACTGGACCTTAAGCAACAACAAATCGATCAATTAATGATTTGTATGGGCTGTGCTCTTTGTTGAAGGCCGTACGATAACCTATAGTTGTTAACTTCTACGTCAATTTGGTCTCTGGTCGAGATATGTCTCATACCACATCTTCTTATTTTTATATTTCGGCCTAGAGACGTGTCATTCAATTACTCAAGCAATCAATGTAGATTTTGACTTTATAGATGCATAAAGCGGAAACTTGAGTAACATAGCGTAATAACTGCATAAGCAATAACCATTCACTATCTGCATTTTTTAAATACTACAATTACATATCTACGTTAAACACTGAGTATGAAAATAAGACCCCGAACAAGTAGGAGACGATGTTTAAACTACTTTTCTGTCTGTTGTAAAGTTGAAGACATCCCTTCGACAATTTTACGGCCGCCATCACGAGTTGGTTGACCGTTATGGAAAATCAATGTCACAGATGACCACGGATATCTTCCAATTTTTACTACCACAATCTCGCCCTCTTTCCCCCAATTTTGACATCACCGAATGAGACTTTCCGAATTTTTACTTACCATGAGACATGTGTATCAGGATAGCTTACTCTTCGGGAACACCTGATACCACTCCCGATTTTTGTTGTGGTTCATGTTGCACAGTCTTTAGTCTTCTTCGTAGTGTTTGCGATCTTATTTGTCTTTTCGGCGTGTTTTGTGTTTTTAGGGTGTTTTCAGTCTCTCATCGACTTTAGAGTTTTGAGTGACCCCTTGATATTTTTCTTTTCCGTTCCGGCCCGTGGAGTTTTGGTACAACAATTTATATGATTTTTACGATTAAAAAATGAAATTACTTTCGACAAATAAACTTCTGTAATTATGATAGTTTGATTAGAAGGACAAGGTCTCTTGTTTGACTAAAAGTGATCCTCTAATATTTTTACTGGTATTGTATTCAAATAAAAACGAGACTTCATTATTAATATTACATTTTATATACATATTCAATAGTAACTGATAAACATTATTATGAAATAAGACATAGTTTTCAAAATATGTTACATATCTTGTCTGAGGGTCTGGATGGGGTTTACAGAATAAAGAATAATGGGCAAAATGTGCAGAATATGTGGCAAAATGAATAACAAAAGAGAATAATAAAGCAAAAAATAAAGAATAGAAAATAATGGGGTGCTAAAATATAAAGAATAGAGAGTAATGGGCAAAATATATAAAGAATAAAGAAAAATTACCTAAAAAATTAAATAATACAGAAATGAAGGACCCCTCCGCCCCTCCATCCAGACTCTCTTGTCTTGTCTTGTTATTGTTATTTTTTATCCTGATTTTACATTCTTATAAAGTTTTGTATTCTTTATTTGGACACAGTCTATGTTTACAATAATACACACGCTTAGTAAAGTGAGAATCATAAATATATACACATGTTATTCATAACTATATGAATCAGTAAATATATACACATGTTATTCAAAACTATATGAATCAGTAAAAATATAACCTTTTATATTACAACATAATACGTAAAAAAACTTAAGAAACATGATATATATATATTTTTTTTATATAAGAAAACATACTGGCCTTGACATTAACAATATACAACCATACAAATACTATTTATAAACACTACATTACATCGTACGTATAAATGTACGTGTAGTGCAAAAAAAGGAGAATCAAAAAGTGGGAATTATGAATAAAAGTGATCGTGTCTTGTTGACAATAATATATCTTCATCATTATTTTTTTTCTTAAATATAGCAATAGTAACCTGAAAAATAAACACATTTTCCTCCACTACTGCCATACGTTGTTTTATTACGTGCTCTTCTTCTTGTTGATTCGTCGTTGGTATTCAGGGGAGACAATCATCTTTCCGCGATCATTGTTAGACACCATGGATAGTAACATCAGAATTTATTGTCTTAAACAAGTTACCGAATCCCTCTCAAATCTGAATTTTTCCTCCATGTGATCGATGCAGTTTTGGTCATCTGCATAATTTGTTGGATGCATAAACTTTGCACAACAATCATTGAAATCGTTTATGCAAAGAACTTTTCCTGTTACTATCTCTTCTATAATGACGAAAGCACGCATACTTTCGACTTTTAATTTAAAGATGGAACATGTACTACTCTGTCGTAAATCAAAAGAAAGAAAAATGAAAAATGAAAAAAAGCATTGTGTATATATAAACAGTTTTGTCAATAATAGGCGTATCCTGTGCAACTTTTCGGAATTTTCGAGTGTTTTAAAAAAATGCTCTTCAACGTTGTATTTGATTCGGCCTCTAACTGTTTTTATTCGAGAGCCACTGACGAGTCTTATGTAGGCGATACGAGCGTATGGCGTACAGAATTGTAAGAATGGTATCTTTGATAAAGTTTTGGCATATTAGAATTGAATCATTTGCATCGGTCAGAAAAAAAAGTATATTTTGTGTTATAAAATAAATGCTGAAATTTTCCCAAATACTATCTCTTCTATAACGACGAAAGCAAGCATACTTTCTACTTTTAATTTAAAGATGGAACATGTACTACTCTGTTGTAAATTGAAAAGAAAGAAAAATGAAAAATGAAAAAAAAGCATTTTAGTTAATTGCTAATCTAAACGTTTTACATTTTCATGGTGCAAATTTATGTGCAGCCACACATTCAATGGTTTATTTTGAATTGGGTCGATATCCTTTGATATATTTTAGAATGTATAAAATAGTAAAGTATTGGTTAAAATTATTATCCACAAGCAACCGTATTCTTAAAAACTGCAATAGGGAACAACTGTATAATTTCTGTAATATTAGAAGCAGTTGGATTTATCAACTTCAACAATTATTATTTAACTTAGGTTTAAATGAGATTTGGTATATCCAAGACAATTTGATTATTGATAGTAATTTATTATTGATAGTTAAAACAAGGATATATGATCAAGAAAAACAGACTTTAAATGATCAAATGAACATTTCATCTAAGTGTTATTTATATAAATATATTGTCAATAATGTAAGTTTACAGAATTATCTCATTAAACATATGAATTTTAGAGTGTATTTAACTCGTCTTAGATTGTCTTTACATAATTTGTTTGTTGAAGTAGGCCGTTATCATGGAGTAAAAAGGGTAGACAGAAAATGTGCTCTTTGTACTTAGATACCATTGAAGATGAATTCCATTTTGTATTACAATGTGAATGCTATAGAGATTAAAGGGGACATTTTATAAAACCTTATTATTATAGGCGTCCATTGTTGTTCAAATTAGTTCAACTTCTCAGCACTGAAAATGTAATAGATTTGCGTAATTTGTGTAAATTCCTATTTAATGCACTTAATCATAGGACTGAACTGTTAGTGGACAATACTTGATGTTTATTTGCTTCTCTGATGTATTATGCCATTTTATGTTATAAAAATGTATGTGTATTAATTGTACTGATAAGCATAATGTGCTTAAAGTATGAATGCAGTACCTGTTATAAGTCTAAATTATAAATTAGATAAAATTTTGTGGAAATATTTTGATTTCCTTTTTTTTTGTAATTGTTGTTTTTCTTTAGAAAAATTAAACAAATGAATTAACAATGAAAATCAAACTTAATTGAATTAATCTGAATTGCTGTTGCACATGTCGAATTAACGATATTGTCATGACGATTCTGTTTTGAACCAGCTAAGACTTTGTCTAGTACAGTCAATACATTTATCTTCAATTTGATTTTTGTGTACTGCATTCATTATTTACGCATTCTAAGGAGGTAAAGTTACCAAATTTTCGGTCTTTCAAGAATCTGTTAAATAATAGAAGTGTTCGTAGCATTAATAAAATTCCTATACATATGAAAAATTAAGGAAAATCAAGGGGAAAATATATTTCCAAAAATGGGAAACTTTTATTGAATGTATTAAAAAAACAAGCACTAAAAAGTGGCATTCGTGTTCTACTTTCTTTGACTTACCAGTATAATGTTTCCATCATAAGTTACATGTAGGTAATCCTTATGTTCCTCGTCCATGAAACGTCGCAATAGAGCACCACTATTAAATTCTATCCAACGCTCCTCTGTAAAGTGACCTATAAATAAATTTATAAAAATGAATATTTCTACGTTGTATTAATTATTTCTTTGGATTCATTAATTTCCTTGGGTACTGATTTTGGTGGATTGAGGAAAATTGTTAAATTGTTTTTGCATTGTAGTTTTGCCGACACTGGTTCGTCAATGTCGTTAAAAACTAAACGTGGTTTTTGTAGCTTTAATGGGTTTGTCATTGTTTTATTAAATTATAATAAATTGGCTTTTTTTCTAAATGCAGGGCAATCAATCATGTACAATAGTGAATCTCAAGCTTGGTATACATGCAACTAGTTTCAAAGAAATCAAATATGTTGGTCAAAGGGAAGTACATCGAAAAAAAATACATCCTGTGACACTGAATTAAGATGATACGAGATTAAAAATATTTGCCTTTATCAAAACATTATAGCACTGTCATTTCGCTGTCTCATCTCATCTCTACCAACTGACATAGAAATTAACAAATGCAGGTTACCGTACGGCCTTCAACAATGAGCAAAACCCATACCGCATATATAGTCAGCTACATAAGGCCCCTAAATGACAAATGTAAAACAATTCCGATGAGAAAACGAACGGCTTAATTTGCTTTTTTGTTTTTAACCTTTGTTTATGCTATTTGTTCACATTTATAAGTAATAAAATATTGGTCTTGTCAATATTATTTACAGCAGATATTGTTTGCGTCAACGAGGCAACAACCCAGCGACTGTGTGGATGCCAAATTATGTGTATAATTGTTTAACTTGAATTTTAATTAATAAAATATGTTTACACTAATCCAGCAACACAAACAACCAAAAGATTTCTAGGGCGAATATACATTTTGTATTGTCTTCAATAATAGACAGGTGTGTATGCAATGTGTAAATGTTTTATCATTTTTTTAAATGTGTAAATTATTAGTTACTAAAAGCTTACATATATGGAAATCTTTTGGTCTTTGTCCTGGAATTGACGATACAAGTTCTTTAAACATCACGCAGTTTTTCTCTAGTGCTTGCATATATCTATTTGTTCCTCGATTTTGTATGGTTACTGCAGATTTTTTTATCCAGTCAGATTCGGGTACGGACGACTCATTATTTATCCGTGCATCAACTGCAGACCCTGTGTTGATATACATTTGTAAATGAATGATGTAAATTAAGAAGTTTTGTGAAATAATTATTATACATTAAAATATCTATTATAGTGTAATGGTCTTATCTACTTATCAAACGAGTTCAAAAGGCTTTCTTTAATGTTCTGTAGTATAAGTTTAAAAAAATACTTTGAAATACATTTTTTTTTATTTAGGATTCAATTTTAAAATTAAAAAAAAAACGTGTTTTAAAAATTTGAAATATATTGTACATACTTTTCTTAGTCAATGAGTACCCAGTTTCGATTACAAAATCAATTGCATTTTTTTATATCTTTTTCTCATAACTTTCAATTGTCAATTATTTTCATTCTGATTTTCTTTATTTATTTGATTGGTATTGTTTTGTTTTGTTGATTTATATACAAAATAAAGCTTTATCTAGACACAATTCATACACATTACCTAACGAACAGTTTAACTTAAAACTTATGTCGACAACATTTCTAGTGGTTGGTCGCCTGTAAGTCTGAAAAAAATTCATTGAAAATGCACATCTTTTTTCAGAAAGAGTAACGTGTCTTATTTGAAAATCTCATGGTTTTAAGCAGTTCTTGTTGAAGTTCAATTCAAATTGTTTGATAAAGTAGATTGAAGATTTGCTATGAACCGAAACAAAAACTTGGAATATTTTAGGATGTGGGTAGACTAATATTAAACATATGAGTGACGTCTTTCTTAAATGAAATTAACTGCACATTATATAACTAACACATCGCTGAGAGGGTGATAGAGCAGATTGTTACCCCGAGAAAACATTGTCAACCGCGGCGAAGCCAAGGTTGACAATGTCTTTTCGAGGGGTAACAATCTGCTTTATCACCCTCTCAGGTATGTGTTATCTAATTTATTATACTGAATGTTCTTTTTTTTGCTGTCTATTAAATTTTCAAATTCAAAGTAATAAACTATGACGTCTTGTACATAACCATTCGTATTTAATAAAGTGCACACTTGATCAAGCGTCTCCGTGAAGGGTAATAGAGTATTTACCATGGGATAGAGTAAATTATCTACCTCGTACATCGTATTAACCAATCAAAATCTGGCATTTTGACATAAAGTAAAATAAATTCAAAATTTTTAATGATGAGATATTGGCTATATATCTGAAACAGCGCTGGAAGAGAAAAACACCGATTATCTTGAACGAAACTCAACTTTGTAAAAACAAACTAGCTAGTCATACATACGTCCGAAACAATATGTTTATTTTTCTAACATGATTGCATTTTGTTTTGATGTAAATTGAGACAGGGTACGTTTTGTTTATGGATTAACAATATATTTGTTATGTTTTCGGCGTTCCAACTTAATTTTCACAAGTTCATGAAATATATATAGTGTTAAAAATGGTATTTGATTCAAATATACCAAATGACTATTCAAATCAATATTCACTTCCTTTGCAGAGATTTTTAATAGATAATAAAATCATATTTCCTTTCATTTTGTTTCCTTTTATTTGTTTCCTTTTTTTCTTCTGGCTGACGGAAACAAACAGCTCAAGAACCATAGTTAATCTAGTAAAATCATCTATATAAGTCAGATTTGTATCGCCTTGTCCAACAAACATTATTTTATAACACCTAAAACGGATAAAAGATAGAATATCTAACAATTTCAAAATCTCGTTGCTAAACCTGCATTAACATGTGTTTTACAAAACTGAGAACACGTCACTTGATAAACATTTAAGACGAAGAATGTTTCTTTCTGCATGCAAATTAGGAAACTACAAAAATTGACACCAGACACACGAAAATTATTAATGGATGACCATTTGAAATTTAGGGGAAGGGGAGGATTTTTTTGTGGATTGAATAGTTATTTTCATCTGTAGCTACAGTAGTCTTGTTTGTACGCATGAATGCGCGAAGATTTTTTATTCACTTTCGTACACCATTAATTACTTGCGTTTTTTGTTGCAGAATAATCATTCAACCCTGTTTTGGGTAAGAGTATTTTTTTTCCCGTTCTTACCAGCCCAGGATATTCATTTTCAAAATCCTCCCCTACCTTTTCATTAGATGGTTGTACATTTTCCCGAAGAACTTTATGTTTTGATGTGATTTCGTATTCAAAATTAACACGTACCATTGTGATATTTTCATCGTTATTGCTTGGAAGATTTTCAAAAACACTTAAAGCGTCTTCATGAGTAATTAATGTGGTATCTTCATTGTTGATACTGAGAAGCTGGTCTCCATTCCTAAACGAAAACTTAGTTGTCAAACATTTTTACTACATTACAAGAAACAAAAACAGAATGCCTCTCTCTTATAAATGTTAATCAAAAACACCACCGGACACTTGTAGGTGAACCTCAATTAAGCAAAATTAACATGGACTAACATTCCTAAACCTTACCCCAGTACATCCTTAAATTGTCATCATGTACGAGGTGTTTTAATTGAGATGAATGCACTGATACGCCATCGATCTATGGGAATTTATAAATCATGCACTTTTTCATAACTCTAAAGAAATCCGACGAGGAAAAATATCGCTCGAATATTGGAGCGAAGCTGTACTTTTAATGTATCCTCATCGCCGAGGGGTCGAGGCAGCTTAACAAAGAGCAAGTGTTTTCTGTGTCCCAACAGCTCAACTGCGAATGCAAAAATGCAGTAATGTTTAAACATTGTCGGGTTGAATTTTATACGTCAAAATTAATTTTGTGAAAAGTAAATACAAGTAAAACAAAATTAATAGTTTTAAAACAGATAAAACAACATTATCTTAAACATAATAATAATTGATATGATTACCTAAGTTTTAACATTCCATAACAAACAGAGTTCGACACTTCTTGTGTCGGATCAAGTACTATTTTATGTCGGAAATATCCATAAGAGGTATTATAACTGCTTTCAATGTCTCCCATCAGTCTAAATTCACTTGTGTGGTTAGGTGATACAAAGATTTCTGTTCTGGCAATAAATGTTTCATTTGGTCTCTAAAAATATTCATAAAAAAAATAATGAAAGTACATTGTATAAATGGACTCATATTTTCACATTAACAAAACGGGTAAAAAATGAAAGCAACACGTTATAAATTTCATGCGTCCGAAGCGCTTTACTGGATTTATTAAAATAATTGATTAAAAGTGTTTAAATATTCCTTCATAATGTTTATGTAGTAGTGACTGGCGTTTGTCATGCGGAATTTCAAAACCGTTATGACATCACCGAATGAGACTAATCCTCAATTTGTACTTATCATGATCTACATGACGGATGCCGCTAGTGGATCAGGATCAGCTTACCCTTTCGGAGCACCTTATATCACATCAATATTCCGTGGAGTCGGTGTTGCTTAGTCTTAAGGTTTGTATGTTGCACAGCAGTGTTTTGTAAGCTTGTTGGTTAATTCGTCGTTTTTTGCCATGGCGTTGTCAGTTCACTTCAACCTTTAAGTTTTGAATGTCTGCTTTGTATCTGCAGCCTCTTTTTGTATAGAGTAACATTAAGAGTATTAATGAATTGTATAAAAACCCAGCACTTTAACATCTTCGTCATGTTTCAATATTATGTTTTCATTTAATATATTTTCAATTTCAGCACTAAACATATTTTACCATTCATCCTTTTAAAAGCCGACGGAGGAAATAAATGATGTAAACATTCAAGACATTTTACCAGATTCGCTGATCTATTATAGTGAAAACTAACTCGAATAATTCAATCCCTCATCGTGTTCGTTTTTCTCCCACGCGAGGTTTAATTTTATGCTGCCATCGTAGAGCAGCGGAATATAAAGACTGAATTATTCGGATTAAGAGAAAAACAAAAAACATATTAGTATAATTAGTACTATGTCCTTTAATAAAATAAAATTTTAAGATTCGATACGCACGTTATGACGAGAAGCGCAAAATTTAAGACTCGATACTCACGTTATGACGAGAAGCGCAAAATTTAAGATTCGATACTCACGTTATGACGAGAAGCAGATCTTGCTGGTATGTTTTGTGTTAGATGATCGTCCCTTCTTGTATCTGTTTTGTAAATAAACACAGTTATTAACACGTTATATGAATATTCTTTTGTACGAGAAGAGGGACGATTTAGATCCTTAGAAGTCTAATGATCCAAATTTAATTTTCAAATATTAGACGTAAATGTAGTTCCAGTCACTGTAACTGAAGTATAGATTTGATTGCTGGTAGAATAAATATATACAATAAAGATCCTACCACGGCATCGAGTGTGATACGCTTTTTAAAACGCGAGGCTTAAAATTTTTGTAATATCATATAAATATATAAAACTTCACTGTCAAGAGTGGAGAAATTTTAAATTACCCGAGATTTGGTAGTGGAATCTGTTACTCTATTGATTTTTTTTATACGATATGTAGACAAACCGTATCTTTCCTTTTCAATTATCTGCAAAAACGTGAGCTCTTTTTTGCGACGTAGGTAAAGACGCCTTTTTGGGTGACATTACAGAAGAAAATTCAGGGGAAAGCAAGATCGTTTGATGTCATAATTGAATTTTGACCAATGCAGAGGAGATCAAACGAACCACACGTTGATTATGAAACATCAATGATAACTTTGGTATAATTGGAGAATTGGGTACAGCAACAATTAGGTCTTTAGATGCAGATGTTGCATAAATATTTACAAACCCTTTCTGTTTACGATTGTCAGGCTCTAATGTGTATCGATGGACCAACGTTCCTTTTCAAATGTAAAAACTCGAAATGAGTTTCAAAGTCTTCTCTGTTACTCTCAATCATTTGTTTTCAAATCGTTTTACATAACCCAATAATATAAGAATCTGTAAACCCTGAAATGATATGCTTTAAATTTCTGTTTTTTTCTTCAATTTTATGTTTTGTCTATGCATCTTACATATTCATTAAACATTGATATTGAAAATGTTCTGGTCAACAGTAAAAAAATGGCCTGTCGGATTATAAATGAATTAGGGAATATTGATATGACTTGAAGGAAAAAAATATAACCTGTTTTGTCGTTGGTCTGTCAGAATAGATAACAATTCCTTAGACATCTTAGAGCTAAAAGCATTTAATTTCCTTTTTGTTTTTGACATGGTATATCATCTTTCATTTCTAAATTTTATCATATTATTCGAACACAAAACCAACTTCGTAGATAAAATATAGTTGTTAAAAAAACCCTTTTCATTCACCATCAGGAAAAAATCAAAAGAACGAATACAGATGACTATAAAAGAGATTTAATATAAATACTATTAAGTACGAAATCCCATAAATATTACTGATTTTTTTTGTCGAATGCAAATAAATGAAAGAACGATCGAAATAAGCAAAAATATGGACAAAATTTTGATGAATGAAGTTAGAAAATAGGTAAAGAATAAAAAATGATTGAAACATTAAGTCAGTCAAAGTGAAAGTAAGGAGCCTGTATTTCAGTAGCTGTCGTTGGTTGTTGTTTGACGTATGTTTCTCGTTTATTGTTTAATATGAATTAAGTTGTTCGTTTTTTCGATTGAATCTGTTTACAATGTGTTATGCCAGTTGTTACATCTTCGTTCTTTGGTCGCTGAAGGAGTTTTGTATAATCACTGAATTCATTAGGAAAATTATAAAATACTAGCATTAGTACCTGATTTTTTTTAGGGGAAAAGGGGGGAGGGGGGGGGAGAGACTTAGACTATGGATTGTACAAAATTTTAACAGATTTCACTGGTTTATGAAAATAAGTAAACGGATTCTTTTGAATAACAAATCTAGATGCTATTTTATATTGATGGCTATCCCAATATTTGATTTTACAATGACTCTCTGGGAATGAGGCAAGCGGTATCAAATTAGATTAAATTAATCTCAATCGCTAGAGATGTGATATTTTTTGTTGTTTAAAACTGCATAGACAAAGCAAACATAATATTATTATAAATACATAAAGAGGAAAAAGGGAGAAGATACCTGAACCTAAACACTTACTAAAAGATGTGTATCTTTATCGAGGGGTCAGTCACCGAGACAAAAACAGATCAATTTGATAATTCATCCTCGTGGATACTGTAATATTTATACTCTTTAAATTGTCCGGTAGCCTACATGATCATCTTAAACTGCTTCAATTCCTAATAGATATATCATCAAATGCATCCTAGATTAGATCCCGAAGTCAAAGTAAGATCAAATATATTTTAATGTATAACTATGCATATAGATACAGGTCAGACGAACTAACTGAAAATATAATGCTATTTTAGTCGAAGTCATTCAAATACATTTCTAACACATTCATGGATTTTAAATTGTCAATGGTAGTACTGTACATTAGGTAATTCAAATCCTATGATGGTTCGTATAAATATCCTACTGCTAAGTACAACATCCGATATATCTTTCTCAGTTATATTTGTTATGTATATATATTATGCTATCAATTGTATTTCTGTGTATAAGGAAGTAAAGCATCTGACATCTATATCATAAATATTTCATTTAAAAGTTTGGTTAAGAAATTAAGTAATAAAACTATTAGAAAATATAAATTGCCCGTTTAAAGTTATTTGAGTATTCATACCGAATATTTTATGATGCGTGTTTCAATTATAACAAAAAAAAATCTAAATAAGCCATTAGTTTTTACCTTTTGCTTCTTCTTTACAACTTGTACCTACTCCATTTGTTTCTTCCGATGTCCGATGGACTACACAACTGTCTAGTTCATCCATCACTGCTATCTTTCAAATTAAAACAAAACCTCACTGTGTATCGTTTGTGAGTGTCAATCCTTTAAATGCATAAGAAAACACCAGGAAGCTTCATTAAGGAAATTTATTTATTATTGTACTTGGAAAATATATCCAAAGTAATTTTTTCCGGTTGCTGAATGAAACGTTTGTTTTTCATAATATGTCAAGGCATTGTTACTATACAACTTGTCCGTAGTAAAGTTCATATACCGATACTCGTCTATTTATCTGATTGTGTGTTACGTAATACAATCGTTGAATTTTTCTAATTATTTCCTTGAATACAAACAATATTGCATTTGAAGATTTGCAGACATGCGTATTAGATGTAGGTTTCGCATATCTGAGTTGCATTCGACCCAAAAATATGATACGACTACAACTGATTTACTAAGAAGTAATAAATAATTATTTTATCTTTTCAGTAGTTCTAAAGAGAGCAATTAGTTTGATAAAACAGGAACAGTGTCAATATCTCAAAATTTCCAGATGCAGTAAGACTTCAGAAGATGTTTCATAGTCATGGATTTGGAATGAAATCTTAATTGCGGCTATTTTTCTGTCATCAAATTGATACCTTATCACTGCTTTTGAATGGCAATATGAATCGCTCTACTATCTTGTCTATTTTCTGGATTAATTGCCAAAACCGGAATTTTTGATAATAAATGAATACAATTCTATGTAAGCATTAGATACACCTTTAGTGTGTTCGCCTGAATGGGTGTATCTAATTTACAACAAGATAGTTATCATTGTCAATGCAGAACGACAGTTTTCAATAATTTAGGAGGGGGTGTTTCAGCGATTTCATCATATGTTATTGAAAAGCATGATAAATGCAAGGTATCCAATTTCATTTAACGACATCTTGGTGTAAATGATCATACACTCATTGATTGGCTGTGTGATGGTCCCAAACTGGGTTTACATCAGATTCATCAAAATTAATGACTTCAACAATTCAATACTCTTATTTTGGTTTTAATCCAATTGAAAGAAAACACAATTAAATCATTGATTTTGAGATCAATCACACGACATCATTACTTGTGTGCACAATTTCAGACCATCAGTTGTGGTATTGTTGCCTTGAAATTTGTGACGTACTTCAATATAAAAGAACGTTAAAAACAATGTTGCATTATAATGTTCAATTGGGATATATAAATTACAGTCTTCACATAAAGGCTTCTTGATTTATTCATGTAACCATTTACAACAGTTACTTCTTTACATTTATGTTCGTTTTCTAGATTTGAGGCTCCAGTGCCTAATAGATAGTTGAACAAGAAATATATGTTATTTATGTGCATGTTCATTTAGAAAATGTTGTCCTGTAAACATTCATTTCATATCTGAAGCTCTAGTAGGGTACCCCCATATGTCACAATATTATATTAATGCCACGTTTAAAAATTGCCTCAGGTTACTATGTCTCTTTGAGACAAATCTAAAATTAGCGGCAATCCAAAAAATGAAATTTTAAACATTCTAAAAGTTAACAGTTCCTTTTTGAATGAGACATCAGGTCGAAAGGTCACCCACCTAATACCTTTATCGACCTATGATGGGACAATATAGTGTAACAGACTACATATAACACTAAATGCACTGGAAGTTGAATGTGTACTGATTGATATTTTAGTCTTAGATACACGATTTTCTTATTAGTTGTTATCTGACGATTTAAGCCATTTTGAAAGTTTTTATAGTTTGTACTTATGTTGTACTGTTACAACACTGTCCAAGGTTATGGGAAGGTTGAGACGCCCGCAAACATGTTTAACCCCGCCACGTTCAGTATGTGCATGTCCCCGGTCCCATGATTCTGTAATTTAGCGGTTGTCGTTTGTTGCTGTATACCATATTTGTTTTTTTAACTATTTTTTTTTGTACATAAATCAGGCCGTTTTCCCGTTTGAATTGTTAATCATTTGTCATTTCGGGGCCTTGTATAGTTTGCTATACGGTATGGGTTTTTCAATTGTCGAAGACCGTACAGTGCATTATAGTTGCTTACCTACTATGTCATTTTGGTTTCTAGTGTAGAGTAGTCTCAATACACACACACACACACACACACATATATATAGTCTTAGATACATGATTGTCTTGTAGTTGTTATTATATATATATTTGTTCCGGACCATATCAGTATTTGGACCATACTCGTACGCGTATGGTCGAACCACAATTTCTTCTTAATTCTGCTTATTTTCATTAAATTGATGTGTTCTTGCTCCTGTCCATACTATCTTACCGTCATTGTAAGATTGTATGAATAGGAGCAAATCATAATGAGACTGTCGTACAAGTGAGAGGTTTAGCGCTATGAACCAGGTTCAATCCACCATTTTCTACATTTGAAAATGCCTGTACCAAGTCAGGAATATGACAGTTGTTGTCCATTCGTTTGATGTGTTTTGTCATTTGATTTTGCCATGTGATTAGTGACTTTCCGATTGAATTTTCCTCGGAGTTCAGTATTTTTGTGATTTTACTTTTTGTAAGGACAAATCGATAATGACCATGTAAAAATATTTTATTATAATTCCTACTTTTAATTAATATTCACTTTATTAAATTAATCATGTAACAATGGCTGAACTATGATTGAATAAGACAAAATTTAATTTTTAGAAACCTTTTATTTATGTTACACCTTTTCTACGTTCATCGTTTTAATGACCCGGACCATACGCGTATGGTCGGACCATATGAGTATATACGCAGATGGTCATGATCATACGCGTATGGTCCAAATATTCATATGGTCCGGACACACATATATATAAATACACCTGGAAAAAAGTATTGCAACACCTGAGTTTTTCCATTAGAAAAATTTCAACCCTTACGTGTACCATTTTTTTTTCTAAAATATGGTTAAATGTTCATAGTTTTGGGGTGAATTGGGTCTTTTTAAAGATGATAGACATGTTAAACACTGAAAAATTCAAATTTAATTATACAAAATTTCAATTTTTAAAACGATATCATTTTTGAGCACAAATGCACTGTTTACAACTATTGGTCTACGCGATTCCAATTCCATCGGACAACTTCGAGTTGATGTCAAACACACCCATTTTGGTCCATTTTGTCAATTTAAACCGGAAATTTCAATATTTTGTATAACTTCTGTTCACACGGATCACTGCTTCCAGCCGCCTTCTCATACCACCACATAACCGTCGTATTTGTTGTTGTGTTAACTGTTGCCATTCATGGTGCAGTGCATTGTCCAATTCTGAAAGATTTTGCACATGAGGTGTCATTTTTCGCACTTTTAAGATCGATGATGTCCCAAATGTGCTCTATCGGGTTTAAATCGGGGCTACATGCTGGCCAGGGCAATGTCTCCAGTAGTGTCAAAAGGCCGATTATGCCGCACTTGCCATTTTTAAGCACAAATCCAGCATAGGACCCCCAACCCCAAACATAAAATGCAAACGCAATACGTTTCAATTAGCCTAAGGGTAAATACAAATATGTCTTTTACACAAAACCCAAACACCTTAGAAGGATGTAATCCTAGGGTAAATACAAATATGTCTTTCGTTCAAAAGATGGAGGAACTGAAAAGTCCAAAAATCGTAGACAACGAATTTATCAATGATAATGTTTTTGAGGAAAAGGCAAAGGACCAGAGCCTGGAAACCCTGAAATGGAAGGAACTCTCAACCGGGGTGATCTATAAAATCCTGGAAGTGGTAGAAGTAGATGGAAAGTTTGGGAGGAGTAAGATTCTCACCTTGAAAAACAGAGAAGGAGAAACGAATAGGGTGTGGGCCTGCAGTGGACTGAACAGAGAAAAGGAACCCTTGGAAGGAGCCTTCGCGAGAAGTACAGGCTTTAAAGTCAGCAAAAAGACCAAGCAGGAGTACTTCTCTTACGACCTTGTGAGAAATTAAGTCCAAAAAAAAAAATAATGGGCCGGGTGGGGTACAAAAAATTTTTCCGATCCGACATTTCTGCCGGATTGGAAAAGTTTTTTTTTTTATGCTTGAAACGGAGCACATCATGAAGTGAAGCGGAATGGAGCACATCGTGAAACGATGTGTGGAGTGAAGTGTAACGGAATGATGTGTGACGTTTTTTACGGCGCATGCGCATTAAGGTCCTCACTAAAAGTGGTGGAAGGTTGTCGGAGCTTATCTTTTTCATCGTAGTAGTTTTTGAGGCAGGTGGTGATTTTCCCAAACTCAGCATCATCAATTTGTTCATCATCAGCCAAAGCAGTACTAATACATTGTTCAACCAAAAAATTTGTGGACTGTGCCAATTGCAAGGTGTCGCGGTGTTTTTTCTTCTTTTTCATGATACGCCTTGAGATTAGTGTGAGTACCATCACGCTAGTGGCACTCAAGCACGCAAGGGATCCTAGGGGAAGGGAGGCTATAATACCTATACCGGTCAAAGCTGAACCCATGGTGCAGCTGGTTAACACCAAACTGCCCACAGAACAAACACCCAGTGCTACAGATACAACTTTGTCCAGACGTTTGTAGATCTTCAAGGTATGTTGATACTTATGTATATCCACGTTGAGTTGATCTTCCATACATTCGACTCTGGTCTGTCGGTATCCAGAATCTAAATCATCCATTTATTTATAGGAGCATACCGAGGAGGGGAATATTTTTGAAGGGGCTGTTAGCACCTAAGATCAGACCAGCTCCGTCGTGGAATTGCTGACCACGCTTCAAGTAGAGTCCATCACCATAGGTGATCCGGGCGTTTGAAGGTTTGAGGTAGAGACCGTTGCCACTAGGTTTCACGGTGCAAACGCATCCACCACGTTTCAGGTACAATCCAGACCCTAAGGCCTTGTTGACGGCTACACCACCAAGACCACTCAAGGCTCCAACACCCAAGGCGGGTAGAATGGTTTTTGCTAACATGGGGAGTGCCCTCATTGCCAGCCCCGCCAACATGGGTAGGAAGCCACCCACCTTCTGCATGTTTTCCTTCAATTGGGTCGCACTCAACTCTAGGACCATACCACCATTACCCTTTTGTAGGAGCTTGGCGATCTTTTGAACCTGGCGGGTGGTGAGCCACATCTTGTGTTCGCCTTGCAGGTTTGCGTGGGACAAACGAATGGAGACCGGACAACCTTTCTTAGCCGCCCGTTGTAGTTTATCAGCTTGACCTTTTGTCAAGTTCAAACCATGTTCGTGATAAGTCATTTATTTATACCTCACGAAGATGAAAGCGGATGGTGAGATGTT